TCATGAGTTATATATATATATATATATATATATATATATATAATCCGGAATGTGAATATAGCCTCTGATGAAAGGTAAACAAAATTTCAATGCAGTTAATGGGATTTGAGGAATAATTAACACCGTCGAACCGTTCAGCAATGGAACTGATGACTGACTGAGGAGTGGGGGAGTGAAGAAAAATTGTTGTTGGCTACACCACCATCCACCACGTCGTCGGCATACTTCAATGTGAAAACAAATATGGTGAGCAATAAATTTTGAATACAGAGGTAGAAAAGAAGAGAAAATAGAACTGCACCCTGCAATACACCTTGATGGCAGACTTGATGGTGTTAGGATATGTGAACTGGTGTCGGCCAAAAAAGTAGTCTAGTATCTAATCAAACAGATGTAGCGGCAGATTGTGTGGCTTTGGTAATGTTACTAAGGTGTTTTTATCAACCGAGTTAAAAGCGTTACCCAAATTTCGGAGTACTCTCCATTGTAAATCAGTTGATCAACGCCTGGTAAATTCGGAACAAAAAATCGGACATTCGACAACAAACTGATAGGAAAGCCAACAGTCTTTGTTTCTGCTCCCTAGCGCACCTTTCCACCCAGTACGGCGTGGTCTGCATTTGCCACTTGAATTTCTTGTGGTCTATTTAACGGGATTTCTCTCAAAATCAGAAAAAGCATGTTAATACAAATAATTTATAATTTTCACGTATGCTTGAACAAAGATTACATTGTGCGCATTGTTGGTAGTCATTAAGGTCACAGTAATTGATGTGAATGTGTGATGAAAAAGACCAAAGTCACAAAAATAAGCAGCACAAATAGCATGACCAGATTCAAAAGTCTCTCGAATATAGATAGAATTTCGGTAATAGCTTTATCCAACCAGGCAGGAAAGAGCGTAGAAAAATATTGTTAGAACACAATATTACAAGTGAGCATGATTTAGTTCCGGAATCATTTCACTGCATCTCAGCTGGTGCTTGCCGCAGCGTACAAAATAGTTTATACATCACAGGTGTTGATATTCTAACACCTAACGCGCATCAGTATATATCGTGGAATTTCCTTTTGTCTTTTGGAACCACTGCAATATCTGTGGGATTGTAGTCGTCTAGAATTTAGTCGGCTTCGCATTGTTACACCACAGTGAAATGAAATCTATATAACTTGGTTTCCTTTCTGCTTCCCGTTCAAATGACTGCTATGTATTGCACACCGTCTAAAATTCACAAGAGAATAGACTTTCATTTCCCAAATTTTGATTAACTTTTTCTCGCTTATCTCATCCTAATTCAAGTTCATATATCAAAGCAGCGGATGCCGCAATCAATTCGCGACAATGGAACAAGGCGGCTCATATTTTGGCCTCCATTGAAGACACTAAATCGCCGGATATTTTGGCTCCTTATTTTCTCAAATTGGCACAACATCATGCTGCGTGTAAGGAATATGAGGCTGCGGAATCCGCCTTTTTCAAGGCAAATAGAGTCAATTTGGCCATTGAAATGTACAACGCAGCCGGAATGTGGGAACAAGCGCATCGGTTGGCCGCAGAGGCGATGGATCACGCCGAATTGACTGAGTACGTTCACGGAGTAGCACAGTCTGACCAAGCATCTGTTGTACGTTTTAGTCATGCGTGTAGCCCTGAGGGAGTAGAATGCATCGCTTAGTCGTATTTTTGTCTTCAATAACTTTGAAGAACAGTGTGGTTTTCTGCGCTTCACAGAAGAAGAAGACAAGCGAACTGCAGAGCGGGCGGAAAGATCAAACTGATAATTTTCCATTGCCCTTTTGAATTTCTGTGTATCGGTTATTTTCATTCAACGTTCAGAAAAAAAAATACACACATATCAAACATCAGTTTTCTGTTGATGCTCAAAGAAAAATAGTGTTTTAGTTGTTTTAGCTAAAGATTCACAACTTATCCCAGAGCTTCATGCATTTAGTACCGCTATTCTGCCCAGTTCGTACGCATCTGACCATAGAAGAGTGGTCATGAGTTCCATGTCATGGCGTTATTCTAAGAAACTGGGAAGAACGAGAGAGTAGTGGATGGAATTGAAAGAGAAGAACTACCGTCGTTATGTTAAATTTTCAAGTACGTTTAAATCATGATTTGAAGGTGGATTCGGCATGCAAAATAGAAATTTGAATCACTACTGAAAATTGCCGAAGGGACTACATAGCAACAAGCGCCCTGCTCGAGTTTCAACCGAAATGAACTCAGTGAAAATGCATCACGATTGAACTTCGTCAATGGAGATAACCGTTTGTGTAGGAATTCATTGTTATCATTAATATTAATATATTTTACACTCGTCACATTCCCGAATGTGTGCTAAATAAACTACGATACAAAAATCTTCATCATAAAACATTCGGTTTACGACTAAATTATTGCACAGATTCGTGTTGAATTTGAACAATTTAGCACACTGTGTTCAATTTCCCAACCGATTTCGCTTTTTTAGCCTCGATTACTATTTTATTCACCTCATCTAACTGCACCGTTAAAATTCATTTAGCATGTACCTATCCCAGGCGGAACAGTTAGAGGCGTCTGGTCAGCTAAAGGAAGCCGAACGATTGTNNCTGTTGGACCAAACGCATTTACATCTGGCACAAGAATTGGAAAAAGAGGGTAATTTGAAACAGGCGGAACAATATTACTTGGAGGTAATTGACTTTTGTGACCCATGAACGAAGTGATAAAACTGTATAGTAGATTTTGTAGAGTTGAGAGTCAATCAGGTGCGAACCGAAAACTTAGGAAGCACAATAAAGCTGCTTAGATCTGCTTGTGTCTCATCTTCAGTGTGACCCACCTACTCAACTAAGGATGGAAACAATTGTGTTATAAATTTGTCTCAATATAACCAGATTTCATCAGTTAGATAGATAAATAGATAGATAGATAGATAGATAGATAGATAGATAGATAGATAGATAGATGTTACCGTCTTACTAATGAGCATAATCCTAACGCAACGGAGAACGGGAAGGGTTGGATATTAAAAAAACAGAGAGAAAAGGTGGTTAAACAGATTTCGTGAAGAACAAGAATAACAATTTTATGTGCTTCACCGTACACTTTGATACTTAGTGTGTGTGTTATTTTACTGTTTTGCTTCATGAGGCACGGGATTTCAACAGACAGCATTCGCGCCACTGAATTTCATTCTGGACGGTATCTCTTACCGGCTCTAACAAACGATAATCCTCATCCCTTGGGCCCCAACGAAAACCAGAGCTGAAGCTTACTTCTTCATACTTCTACGCCATGTCATGGTCCGACCGCCGCGGCGCTTCTTCCAGCCTTGCCCAGCATATGCCAAAAGAGTACTGAAGGGTAGACGATGAACAAACATACGCCAAACGTGATCAACCCATCGGAGGCGGTGTAGATTGAATTCTTCTTTTAGGTACTGACTGTCAGCACTCGACACACAACGACGACGGTCGTAATACCTAACCCGATCTGAGATATGACGATACAACTCATTGAGTTTTTAGCATCGGTCAATCGTTTCTTCACTGGATACATACAGTCTCACCAATTAGTTATGACTCTTGGATTTTAGGGTTTTTATTAACCCTACTTGGGAACTATGGTTGGTGTAGGTGATTTACTCAATGTTACCTTGAAATGTGTACAAAGACACGCGGTAAGGGTAAATAATTATATTCCACCTATTATAAGGTAGGTTTTATAAATCCTTTTGGGTTGCGCACTATTTCCATAGACTCTAGAATCCTTCAAGAACTTGCATATTTTTATCCAAGCAATTGACAAAGAGACTTTCATCTCAAATATTTTTAAGTTTCTGCAATTAGTTAGTCTCTGTATTCCCTCTGTTCTGGTGTTACACTGATCATATGAATGATATCCCGTAAGGGTTACAAAATTCATGGTACTATCTACTCTTTCACCAGGCAACCATATCAGTTTCCAGTATACACTCGTTTCGTCTGACTCATTGATAGACCAACCAGAAACACGGTTGATTACCACGTAATCTGCACCACGTTGTACAAAATTTCGAAACCCCTATCTTCATTACCGATGGAATAACTTTTCTGTTCTTTGAAATAACTATTAACCCTTCTTTTCATAAATATCTGGACTAAAAATCACTAATAACAACATTTAGTATGAATATTTATCACCAATATCAAGCGCAGTTTAATTTTACCATTTTCTTTTGCTTATTTATAAATAACTGTAAATGAATGGCGAACTCCGATACACTCTCCCCTGTGAGCCACGCAAAACGATATTTTAATTGAAACCGATGAAAACGTTTCTTTGCTTGACAGGCTAAAGATTGGAAATCTGCGATCAACATGTATCGTACACGTGATCAGTGGGAAGAAGCCTATCGTGTCTCGTCCAGTTGTACTGCGCAACCGGAAGTTCGTAAACAAGTTGCCTATTTATGGGCCAAACATCTGGGCGGAGACTCGGCTGTTCGATTGTTGTCCCGAATCGGACTGCTAGAGAGTGCGATCGACTATGCGACAGAGCACTGCGCATTTGAATTCGCATTTGACCTAGCTCGTCTGACCTGTCCGGAACGTGTGAAAGATGTACACAACAAACTGGCCATGTTTTTGGAAGACGAAGGAAAATTTGCCGAGGCTGAGGTAGAATTTGTGAAGGTTAGTGGGGTTTATTCCATTTACCTGGGTATGAATAAAAGATGAAAAATAATCGAATAATTCGTTAAAAATGTGAATGATTGTCATTGTATATATATAACGCCGGCTTGTTGCCAACGCCACAACAGTATTAACAATAACAATGACGCAGGACGGGGGGGTTGGGATACAGAGTACAGGGGAAAACGTAACTGTCAGAATAGAAGATTACGAATAAGTGGAATAACAATTTTTTTGGGGGTGTTTCACCGTACACTCTTTGAAATTTGTGTTTGTTTGTGGTTTTTACGAGGCACGGGATTTCGACAGGCAGACCGTACAGCATTCGCGCCATTGATTTCTATTCCGGGCCATATCTCTCAGCGTCTCTAACCAACGATAATCCTCATCCCTTGGGCCCCAACTTGGAAGGCGGGATGCACCAACCGAAGCCAAAGCTGAAGCCAGCTTCTTCATGCGTCTAGCCCATGTCATGGTCTGACCGCCGCGTCGATTCTTCCAGCCTTGCCCGACACGTGCGAGGAGAATACGGAAAGGTAATCGATGGTCAAATACAGAAAGTCGATTAGCATCCTCAACGCGGAGGGGCCAGGTCTCGCAACCTTAAAGCGGAACACTACGAACTGCGAAGATGTACACCCTTCCCTTAAGGGACAGTCGGATCTCATGGCGGCGCCACAGGTGTCGTAGGTTGGCGAAAGCTACTCTAGCTTTCGCTATTCGTGATGTGATCTCGTCCCCAACACCACCACCAGCTGCGATTAAGCTCCCGAGGTACTTAAAGTTCTCAACTACTTCTAGCTGATGACCACAGAGAGTGAATGCAGATACAGGCTCTTGCCAGTCTTGAACCAGCACTTTGCACTTTGGAGGTGCAAAGCACATACCATAGCTGGATACCTCGATCGTCAATTGGTTCAAAGCCTCTTGGACTGCCTGTGTTTTGCCACCCAACAAGGCAATGTCATCGGCACATTCCAAGTCGATTGAACGTAACCTCGTTAAACCAGCTGGTGGATTATCACAGTAATGTTCATATTGCTGAAACATTTGAGGATAAAAGTTCGGGGAGCAAGCTTGCTTCCAGTCCTTTATCTACTAGCAAGTGACAGCAGATAAAAAATTCACAGGTAACAACATTGGGCAGATGGGATTGTGAGTGTGGTTAAGCTGGAGGGGGGAGAGAGGAAGTTTGGACGACACTAACAGCACCAATGATGCTAATTGTTTGCAAGATATGAACCTTTGGCTGTTTTTGACTGAGCCAAGCTGGGTGATGTTCCCTCATTCGAGTGGTCAGGTATCTGGTGGGAAAACCCACATGACCTGCGCAACATTAGCAACTCAATTGGAAAACACGGAGAGGTATCATCCCCACCGCCAGCTTCTCTTTCACTTGCAATCTATGAGCTGATTTGGAAGAGTAACAAAGCTCAAATTAGTTGAAAAAAGTGTCTTACACTACAGTTGAATTGTTTTGCTCGTTGTCTTCGACAGTATATGCTCTTTGAGGAGAAATGAACTATCAAGCTTTTTCTTCTCTACCGTTGACTTATTTATTTTTGTACAATAGGCTCGAAAAGATACTTTCGTCATCCATTTTCGGGAAATTTGATTTAACTGTTGTTAGATTATTATCCACTATATAGAGGAGAAGACCTTCTTATACGATTGAAAACGGATTGAATACATCTTTTTTATGATGAAACAAAACTATAAAAATGAATACGTTGTCCCATTACTGTTTTCGTTTTTATATTTCTTGT